TACACGCATACACATACACACCGACACACACATATTCGATCAAAGGTAACAGGATCAGTACAGAAGATAATTAGCCAAACCATTCTATATCAATTTAGGTTTTTAATTCTCTTTTGTTTAATTGAGTTTATATAAGAGGATTAGATCGAGCAGAGTATTTCTTTATCATGCAGTCTCCACAACACCTGACCGGCTTATCTCCTCGGAATTCCACTCTACGCAAATTCTATCTATAAATTATGTATTTACCCGATAGAATTATGTAAATTTGAAGAAGATAAGACTAGTGTTTGTCAATTTGCACCAGTGTGTAGTGGTCTTTAGAATTGTTTGTTGCACTCATGGCAGATCTCCCAACCAGTAATTGGGGGGGCTTGGCCGAACACCCAAAATGGACGTTGTAAGACATGTGGGATTATCTCATTAGCACATCTAAAGAGACAAGCAAAGCTGTTTAAACTCACATATCTGATGGTGTTTGCCCTTAAGATCAGCAATACTTTGTAATCATGTAGTTATTTGCAGATAGTCTTGAAGCAGTCCACCTCTCAGCTTAGGCAATAACCTTCTTTGTGGAGGCATTGAGTAGTGAAATTTAGTGAAAAAGCAAACCTTAATTTAAAATCTTAGCGGTTAGATTCGCTATCAGTCTCCTACGAGAATAAATTGTAAATCGTGTGATGAGAAATGAAAATAATTCACAATTGAGATATTCAATTCAAGGTGATAGTCTGTATGCGGAAGTTTTATGGTCACCGCTCCGAGGCGATCTTTCTTCGAGCTCGGCTTAGGCCAACAAGAGACTATATTCCATCCTACTTTATGTCAAATTAAAGACTAGATAATATGAAATAGAATGTGTATTTTTATGCTGGCAATGCTATTTATCAATAAGCCATGAGTAGCTTGAATATATTCTTTTCTAATAAGCAGTGATAGCAGTTCACAATTCTTATATTTTGATAATGAGGTCTAAACCAAGGACAAATCTAATAATATATTTAAAAGAGTAGACAATATAAACCAGAATTAGGCTTTTGGATATTTAAGGATGAAACAGACAGGCTTGAAGCAGGAATGCGAACTGAGGTATACACTAGAAATGTGTATAATTATATGAGATGCATTCACCATATTTTGTTTTAAGGTGATGAAGGAGTGGTAGAAGAAGAATTTCCCCACAATGATATGAGTAGAGTTAACGTTTTCATTAAAGTTCACATAGCCTTGCTTTCCCAAAAGTTGTTCTACCACCAGACCTTTATCACCTTAAACGAAATTGGGTGAATACATCTCATACTACTGATTTACTGATAGTTGCAAAAACAATACTTAATTCGAAAAATGTGTATAATTATCTTCCACAATCTCTCATTATATGATTTGATGATATTTAGGGATCGTAGCCGACAAACTATATTCGATGAAAAGGCATTAAAACATTTTTGAAATGCAAATGATATCACGAATGATGAGCTCCATTGCCTGCAAAGAAATTCAATGAATGCCAGACCTTGAGACAATAAGGCAATATAATGCTAAACTCGGCTGCCAAGCCAACCTGTTTGCTATTAAGTCTGGTAAACTCGAGAAAAAAATACTTCCAAAAATAATCGGGCGTAACTCAAACTAGTCTCATGTCGCGTTCAGATGAAGCTTGTTGTTTTTTGCTTGGCTTCAATCTCAACAATCAGCAGCCTTTGAACTCAGAGAGTCGATCGTGGAGGACAAGTGCTCTTAGCATTTCGTAGCTTGAACAAATATTTGAGAATTCGCACATGCATGCATACACTGTTAAATATTGGTGGATTTTTATTTATATATTTACATTGCGTGCACATGTGCACGTGGGTGTTAATGGAGACCTATTGAACGTCCACAAGGGATGGCGTGAAAAGTTGCGATTCTTTCATGCTAAAGACAAGAGTAAACCGGACTTGCTTCAAAAATGTGCACGAAATTGTAAAAGTGGTAAACCCACGGCGGAAAGATTTTCATACAAAATGCGACCAACTTGTCTATTTGGTGTATTGGGAAAGTTGGTTGGTATTGAATGTGCAATGGTTGGCAAAAACGCGGTTTAGTTTAGAAAAAAACATTTTCGAAAAGACAATTTTTCCCAGTTACGAGTTGCTACTGTTAAACTGGCGAACGCTCTGTGTCGGTCTTCAATTGGCCAGCGTCCAATTCGCCTATTTCGTGATTTGTGGTGAAATGGCGAAGTGGAAGCAGGCGTTAAGTGGGAGCAAATGAATTTCATACAATCAGGGCTGGAAATTTCCCCAACAGAATTCAGTTGTTCGCCGCAAAGAAGCGCGATGGGCAAAATGCCGCTCGAAGGAAGCAAGTCTTGCGGAGGTCGACTTTGAGGCAGACTTGTTGGGCTTTGCTTCCGCCAAATGCTGATGCGTCGACGTGCTTCTGCGGTTTGGAGGTTGAACCGGGCTTCGGTTCGGATTCGGTGGCAGAGGCGAGACCGGTCTGCGCAACGTAGACACGAAAACGCAGAGCTCGGATGAGCGAACAGTCCGAAATCACCGACCATCTTCTCGAGCATGCCAGCCTCGAAGTATATTCCAGCAGGTCGAATCGGCTCTGAAATCGTGTAAAGTTGTGCAATTTTACTCATCAACACCTCCAGAAAGCGTACTTTGCGTCAGGCTGCAAAAGAAAGTCACACAAGTTAGCGCGCAAGGTTCAGTTCTGCTCACTGTTTGGCCAGACTCTTGTGCAGGCAGCAACTATTTGCCGAGAAACTGTCGTCAAGGCTAAACGTGTGAATAGGGGCCGGATGCGATAAGATGCCGTCGCGGGCAGTAGTCAAGGCTGCTTCCAAGAACTCAGAGTCCAACATGTTCTGTCATCTCACACATTTATAGATGCTCGGCGGACAAGATCTCCTGACATTCTTGAAGAACTTATTGCATCTCATTTGTTCTTAGTAGAACTTCTCTGAAATTACATTCAATTATAGCATACGTCTCATAGGCTCTAGTCTACGCTCATCTTCTTTAATTCTTTATTGTCATATTAAAGTAAAGTCTCGACAACAATTTTATTTCAACTGATTAATCAAACTCAAGTTAGCCTTCTTATATACAATTTAATAATATGAGATGTATTCACCCGATTTCGTTGAAGGTGATGAAGGACTGGCAGCAGAATCTTCCCACAATGATATGAGTAGAGCTGAAGGCCTGGCATTCCTAGAAATTCACATCTGCCCTGTGACCCAAGGACACTCGCGGCAATGTGGTCGAATGGTTGACGTGTCAAGCTCCAATTCTGCACTGTCACGGTTCGACTCCCGCTGGGGGTGTTGATGAGACCGAGGAGAGGTCGAAACTGCAGTCCACCCCAGCTGGGAAAGCAAGGCTCTGTAAAATTTAATGGAAACGTCAGCTTTACTCATATAGTTGTGTGAAAATTCTTCTACCAGTCCTTCATCAACTTACACGAAATTGGGTGAATACATCTCATACTACTTATTTACTGGTAGTCTTGAAACAATACTGAAAATGTGAAAAATTTTATAATAGATTTGAATTGTAAATTGTCATTAGATTTTGAATAAGAGCATGCTCCATCTGAAGTCGGCTAATGTTGGGATAGTTGATTCACTTAAACGAAAAAAAGTGATTCTGATAATTATTTTAAATCTTCTGATTATTCCGAAGCCTATTCAATAGGCCATTAGTAACTGCGATTATTGCAAGTAAACGTAATTTTGTCATTAG